TGTGTGTGTGTGTGTGTGCGTGCGTGCGTGCGTGCGTGCGTGCGTGCGTGCGTGCGCGCGTGTGCCTGTGTGCGCGCGTGTGGGTGTGTGTGCATTTGTGTGATGAACGTTTGTTATTATCAATTCTGTTCCAGATTTAAGTCCGTACTAACGTATTTCACGCTTTCTTTCGCAGTCTTACGGGAAGCCCTAGCGCGAGTCCATCGATAAGCGAAATCCCGTATCTTGCGTCGCGGCGCGGCTCCAACCAATCAGAGGCGACGATGCATCCGGCCTATAGGATCACGCCTTACATGGAGCAGCTGTACGGGTCGCTGCATTCGAGTCCGATGTCGTTCCGGGGACTGAGTCCCGTAGAAAGAGGTAAGCTTCACACTGCCCCGCTCACGTAGCCACGCCTACCTACCCTACCCTCATTAGACTGGGTCCCGTAGTCCCTAGTCCGCCCACGTGCCCCACTCCCTAGCGTTGTCCACCTACCACACTCCCCAGCCCCGCTTACCTACTTCACTCGCTAGCCACACCCACTTACCCCACCCACATGCCCCGCCCCTTACGTGTACTAACCGTCTGACTCTCTGATTATATCATTGCAGGTGTTCCGGTTCATCCTGAGTATTTGCAGCAGATGGCAGCACTGTCTCAGCGATATGAATCTCTTAGTCAGGGCCTCCCGGCGACTCCGTCCATGGATGGTGAGCATTATGGGATGGGAAGATTCATCGATATATATATATATATATATATATGTATATCGATGCATCGCCATACAAGCCTTGACGATACACGTATCACCATCACCAATACATCACCATCACCATCACCATCTACCAATACTTTACTGACTGAAATCTCATATATTGAGAGGAGAGAGAGAGATTTTATATATTATGTAATAAGGTAGTTTTATCCAAAAGCATAACGCACTTCAAAATTCTATAGCAGTCGTTTGCTGAGTGCCCCAAGATACTGAATTGTAAACTGAGACTGACGCCGACCGTATTTTAGACTGACGCCGATCGTTTACCTTGCCGCAGGTTCTAGTTGCACAGAGCGCCTCGGCCCGGCGTGCGAGCGAGCCGCAAGAGGGCGCTGTCGAGCTCGCCGTTCTCCGACCATTCCTTCGACATCAATTCCATGATCCGCATCTCGCCGAACGCTCTAGTCAACATCATGAACGCGTCGCGCAGCTCGAGCGCCGGCAGCGGCTCCTACGGACATCTCTCCGCAGGTAATCAATCATAGATCAATCAATCAATCAATCAATGCAATCAATCAATCACTCATGTTTTCTTCTAACAAATAAGATACGCGATGGGTAAAAATCTTAACAAGCGAAAAGAGTGCTGGGGGCGCCCTGAATTTAATATGACTCAGAACATAAATACAGCATAGCTATTGTTGGACGCAACCCCTCAGCACGACTTGGCGTGACCTTCGCCTGTGTCACCGGTCTCGAACGAAAATGATACGAACTTCCTATATGGCATATCAATATAGAGCAGGGACAAAGGTGTTATTATCTCGGTCGGGATTTAATCTCATAGATACATATATCGTAATTAAAAGATGATAACCAGATGGTATACTCAGTACCCAGTACCTAATCTATGAACGAAGCAGCACCTCTGCACAGAGAGGGTAATAGAAACGTTAAATACAGTACTTAACATACTCAAAATTCGGGTTACGTATTTCTAATTATCAGTTATACAAACGCATGACGAACCATCATATTCAGTGATTACATAATCACAACCTATCACCACAGCCGACCGCACGGCACGCACCGCACCACCGCAGAGCACGTGGGGAATTAAGCAGAGCTCTGTACGCCTGTCAGTGCTATCGGGGAATACATGCGCGGTACCCTGACCGGATACTGCTACCTTGCTGTTAACATCCTGCCGGCTACCTGTGACGAATGATATTAGCTAAGTGTTTTGACAAAAAGATCGAGCGCGCATTCCATTATGAAAAGCAACGTGTTTAACAATCTTCTACTTTAATACGATAACATATATGATAACACCGTAGCAACGCATTGATTGCAGCATAGCAATAACAATACGCAGAAATAATCTATCGCAAAAAATAGCTTAAGTCAAAATAAGACACTTACACATTATCAATCCAAACATTCAAGTAAACACAAGTTAAATATAATTACCTTGCTTAAAGTCAATCCAATCATAACCTGAACATTCACTAATAAAGACATTCTAAACTATGAACTAAAATTTTCAGAATCAGCCATCAACATGGCTTGACATCGATAACGTAATTCAATCTGGAAAAACAAAAGCCCCTGCAGGCATGTGAATGAAGCATACTCTGCACAGTCCAGACTTGCCTTATTCAGCAGTATGAATACGCAGCTGGCGATCAGTCGACTGGAAACCACTAGCGGCGGACATATTCAAAACATTCAGGGATGTGATCATAAGCAATANACACACACACACACACACACACACACACACACACACACACACACACACACACACACACACACACACTACACACACACACACTGCTAATGCAGCTCACCCCCCCCATGTACCCCATCTCTAACTACCGGATGTATGTGTGTGATATTATCTGATGTAATGCTTAGCCTAATCCTTGTCTTTACCCCATCTGCTCTGGTTAACCCCATTCCCCAGCCTCAGGACCATACCCCAAGACATTTACCTTCATCACACTATCCAGGGTGCGAAATTAACGGGAGTCCGGAGTCAAATACTCCCTGTTTTA